AGACGAACACAATACAGAAGCCTGATGATGGCAGATGAGATTCTGCCAAAACATTGCTACAACTTTAAAAGCACAACTATAATGACATGGGAAAATACCCGAACAAAGCTAAATACCATACATGTAAGTACCCGTGAAAACTTAAGAAAACATATATATAAATTTATATTTAACATAAAAAAAATTATATTAAATATATTAGCTTTTTTAAAAAATTCGTATTAGTGGTCCTTGGGATTTAAAAGTATGAGTTTGGTGGTCCCTGAGATCCAAAAGGTTGGCGACCCCTGCACTGGAGCAGACCATAAAGATGGTCTGGCTACAACATCTCCTATCTTTTGCTTTTCAGAAGAACTTGAGTTAATTGGCCTGTGGTCATATGGATCTGCATAATACGTTACATTTCTCCTCCTGAGATTTAGACAATACCTTTCACAGCAACTATGTTTGCATTAGTTACTATACTTAAAATCCTGTCCAACTACAGTGGGATTTTTTCTGTGGTATAGAACAAGAGTTTGAAATAAAGATTCATTGTATATTTACAACCCTTAAGGAGTAAAGAAAACTGACATAGGAAAAGGGTTGAATTACATTAAACTCATTCTTTTTCCTAAGCTAATGTTCTTCTGATAAAGAACTTTTCATTGGGACAGCAAGCTTATTAAAAAAAAACTAATCCAATTGCTGACCAGTAGTAGGATATTCTATTCTGTCATCATCAGGAGACTCTGTCATTTCCTTCAGCTGCATCTGTAAGTTGTTTTTCTACCCAGTATCTCTATTTCAATTGATTTTTGAAATATAACACATTTTTGGGGGAGAATTCCACCAGGCAAACTTGACAGGTATAGGTAGGAGTAAAAATAAACTCACCAAGCAAATTCTCCATGCTAAGTCACTTACTTATTCTTCAGATAAGGACAAAAGCTTGAGATGGAAAAATACTGAATTACTGAACATTTAAGGAAGTCTATATGCTCTTACAATGATCAAGAAATATGAAGAATGAGATAAATTATACAAAACCATTTGTTTTTTGAAGGAACCGTGTTTTCTGTTCTTTTATTTTGAAATGCTAGGAAGCACTGCAGGTTTAGTTAACAATAAAGTGTAAATACTGAGAAAACAAAAACCTCTTCCCATTTGCCCCCGTACTTCACAGTTCAAAACGTTATTTGTTTGTCAAAACAAAAATATAAAGAAAAATGAAAATAAAGGTAAAATAGAGAGGAAAGGGGGAAGAGAGAAAAGTGTAGGATAGAGGGGGAAAAGAAAAAAAAAAACATTGACTTCCGACTCCTTTTGGTACAGTACAAAAAGGTAATAACATGAAACTTCACCTTTTTACTTTTCTATAATAATATATAACAGCCATTTATATAACACCAAACCTACCGAATCAGCCAAAATCAAAGTTTCATTTTTTCCCACTTCAAGCAAAAAGTCCAAAAGCAGTTTTGAAGTAGAACCAAAATTAATTGTGCTCTTTTCTTTAACCAAAGCAGTTAATTTAGCCATATTTGCTAACTCCATCAACTTTCACAGCCATTCTACCATTGTGGGATTCTCAGTGTCCTTCCATTTTTGTTTACAAAGTAATTTTGCTGCTGTCAACATGTAAAATCATTTGCCTTCATACTTGTTTAACTGCTAGCTGGGCTCTGCAGCACACAAAGAATCAAATTCATTCTTGAAGATCAAATAGAGTATCTATAAAAGATAACCTTACCTGCTGTTGGCATAACTGATAGCGCTTCGACTGACCCAGGCACATGCTACTATTCGTCCCTTGAGATACGTGTAGCCTGCAATAAAAACAGAATCCTTCTTCAAAAGAACTGAAAATGTTGACTTCAAGAGAGATTCTGGTTTAGAGTATGAAACACCATTTGAAAAGTCTTTCTGAAACTGAGTTTCATATATATGGTAGTAGTGCGCTACTCCCTTCATTCCGGATGATTTTTCAGGTTCCCAGTCTACACTGTGTGCACAATTAGGCAAGCTGTATTTTGAATGATTAATTTTTTTATTGAACAACTATAGTGCTCTTGGTCAATCCAAAATGTTAATAAACCTCAAACCTGAATATTTAAGGATGTAAAGGTGAGGTTGTGGCTTTCTTAGGAGAATATCTATATGTGCACAATTATTGGGCAACTATTAGTGTGCAGAATGATTATGCAACTAAATGAAAAATGAAAATATTCCCATTTCACTCATTCATTTTCATCTGTTAAAGTGAGAATAATAAACAAACAACTCAAAATTTACAAATAAACATTTCTGACAATTCAAAAAAACAACAACCAATGAGCAATATAGCCTCCCTTCTTTTCAATAACAGTCAGAAGCTTTCCATTCATGGAGTTTGTCAGTTTCTTAATCTGTTGACAATCAACTGTTTGTGCAACAGCAACCACAGCCTCCCAGTCACTTTTCAGAGAGGAAAACTTTTCCTTCACCATAATTTTCCCATTTAAGAAGTGCCCACAAGTTCTCAATAGGGTTTAGGGCAGGGGTGGGCAAACTACGGCCCGCGGGCCACATCCGGCCCGTTGGTCTTTTTAATCCGGCCCGCCAAAGATTGGTACAGAATTAAGGTTTGATGTGAATGATTGAATGATTGCATTCATTTGATTTTGACTTGTAATGACAGGCATTTTGACACCAGGTGGCGGCCCATCTGTCAAATTTTAAAAGTCAATGAGGCCCCCGAGCCAAAAAGTTTGCCCACCCCTGGTTTAGGGTCAATAGGGTCAGGTGAGGAAGGAGGCCATGTCATTATTCTTTCATCTTTAAGGCCTCTTTACTGGCTAGCCATGCAGTGGAGTACTTCGATACATGAGATGGAGCATTGTCCTGCATAAAAATCATGTTCTTCTGAAAGGTAATGGGTTCCTGGTAGCTTCATGTTTGATTCTTCTCAAATCTTTGGCAGTTAAGGTGTGCCTTTTTTTTCTCAATACGTTTCTTGCGAACCTGATGACTATTTACAACAAAATGTTTGATGGTTCTGTGATCACGCCCCAATATCTTAGCAATTTCAAGAGTGCTGCATCCTTCTGAAAGACTTTTTACATTTTTTTTTCTTTTCAGAGTCAGTTAAATCTTTTTGGCCCATTTTGCCTGAGGAAAAGAAGCTGCCTAATAATTATGCACACCTTGATATAGGGTGTTGACCTCCTTAGGCCACATCCTCCCTCATTACACAAATACACATCACCTGATCTGCTTATATACACTAAGCATTTAAATTTATACAGCTTGGAGGTGGAACATATGCATACAAAAGACGATATGGTCAAAATACTCACTTGTCTAATAATTGTGCACATGGTGTAGTCTATAAGTCTGGTCTTCTATCCAAGTTCAGTACTACCTGGTATGGTTGTGCAAAGTTTCATATTTTAATGGGAAAGCAGAATTTAAAGTTTGAAGAATTTGTTAATGCACACACTGCATTAAAGCAGCCATGTCTTTTCTTGGGCTTACACAGTTGGCCTTTACAGCTCCTTTACAATCCAGAAAAAGGAGACACGTGCTTTAAAATGTTATTGAACAAAGAAGTTCAAATCCCATGCACACTCCAGATCACATTGCTTCTTCAAATCCAAACACTGCACAGTTTTGCTAACTAGATCCAACACCATCTAAAGATCCACCAAAGATTCATTTAGGTTATGCCATTACAACATCCATAATAACTTTTGCTACTTCCCTCTATGCTGCAATTTCCTTCTTTAGCTTAAATATGAGCAAGAACGCTGCATTGAAACCTATTGCATCCAGAAAAATATTCAGAATATTTCCAAATAGTTAACTGTGATTTCCTCAGCATTAACTAATATTCTACTCCAGCATTTCTGAATCCCATACTTCCAAAGCTGAATAGCATCACAATTTTTTTCAGAGCTAATAGTGAAATAAAGCCAGCTCAAGGTAAATAGAATTTACTCCCAGAAACAAAATATAGGATTGGACTTTAAGCATGTCCAAGCTTAATTTTCTCACAATATCAAATTCTACATATTGGAACAAGCTGGAGTTCTGTCAAAGAAGCTTACTTCCCTGCCTAACTTTGATCCTAAAGTGAGTAATCTGCTTGCTCATCCTGAATAAAAGGATGTTAGAACTTCAACCAGTTAGGAAGACAGGTGGCTCCTTCTTTTAGTGGGACTAGAGCACAAACTCTTGCCCTTAATTTAGCTAACATAGGTAGTCCTTGACTTACAACCACAACTGGTACCAGAATTTCCATTGTTAAGTTGTTGTTAAATGAGTCAGACCTGATTTTATGACCTGTTTTGCCACAACATGGGTTTTTTTTTAAGTTGGAGAGACAAACTGTAGGTTGCAGATGATCCTGCTAGTTGGTACTTAAAAGGAGAGCCTTGCCAAAAGTAAAGCTGATTTCTACCTACATTGAGAATCAGGGTTATTTCCAAACAGAAAGAACCTCAGCTTATCCAGACCTCAATTATGCAGGCACACCACATAAAGGCACACACATAAACTCACACAATTTTGACAGCAGGAAAGAGAAACGGTTTCACCCCTCAGAAGTATGTTTATGTAGAATAGGAAGAAGAAATGTGGATAAGCTTGGTTGATAGAAGTCTCCAATGCCTGTTCTCATTAGGATCCAGGGATGTGGAGCAGCAGGTTAAAAGAGGTGCTTCTCTGGAGCTTATTCAACTCTTGAGTGCAGGTTGAAGTTCAGCATGGTTAGCTAGCTGGAAATTTGAGCAACCTGGCTAAGGCTGAGAGTATTGGATTCCTCAGAAAGAAATCTATCATCACCTTATACAAACTGTATCTTCCCTGCACTTTAATCAGGGAATCAGCTCAGGATGTTAGTTCCTGAACCTCAAGAAAATAGAGAAAACAGTGGGGATTATGAAAATTATCCTATGAAGAGGAAGTTAGAGAAATTGAGCCACTCAGAGAAAAAGTGATTTAGTGAATTGCTCTGTCACATCTCAATATATTTTTTTTAAATGCCAAATGTACTGTGATAGTAAAATTGGCTTATCCAACTAAAGGTCTTGCATTTCTGTCAAGTGGCCTTGGTCAACTACTTACCGCTGCCATAAGCAGTGCCTCTCTCTTGACATTACTCCTCCTCCACAGGTGCGGGAACATGTAGACCAGGAGCTCCATTCTCCCCACCATTTGGTGACCTCTTCATTCCAGGTACCAGCTTCTTCTGCTGCCTCACTACTGTCCTGACACAAACAGGGAAAGGTTACCTTAAGAACTCCAGAGTAACTCCCAGTATCTCCATTTTTCTAACCTCACAAGCTATTCCTAGGTTCATATTTTGCTGTATGACAATGTTTTGGTTCTTCTGATGTAGACTGTTGCAGACTGAAATAATGTATGAAATATATAATAATTTGTACTTTCCTGTATATATTTGTTCATTATTGGATGCCTCCATGTCCTGAGTATGCTTTCCAGGCCCAATACTTGGGATTGATAAGTTATTTTTTCGGCTCTCTTCTCCTTCCTCCATAGTATTTACTTTAAAACTTTTATCTCAAACTCATGGGTTTGTTTTTTTTCATTTTTAAACATCGAAACTCACATCTCTCTACTACTGAGGAACAGGGATGAGGAACCTCTAATCCACTGGGCTAATTCGTGCCATCAGGTTGATCCATCCAGCTTATGGGGCTTTGAGTGAGATTTCCTCTACTCCCCCAAAATTCCCAGTAGCATGAGCCATATTGCCCATCAATTTGCCTGGTTGGGAGGATTGCCAAAGATGGCACAGATAGTCATTGGTAAACAAAAGTTGTGCAGCAGCTATTCAAAGCTACAATAGCACTGAATGAGTGGTACTTACTAGCAGTCCTTGAAGTTTTGATCATTGCAGTGCTTTGCAGCAACATGATGGTACTCCAGGTGCTCAGCAACCAACCCGAATTTCTGACCGTCACTATATCACATGGTCACATGATTGCAATTTGCAACCTTCCCTGCTGGCTTTCCACTAAGTCAATGGGGAAGCTGGCAAGAAGTGGGAAGCTCTGATTATGTGAGGTCCTCACTTAATGACCCGCAGCGATTCACCTAATAACTGAGGACTAATGGAACTGCTGCCACTGAGCAGTGCAGGTATATGACATCACGCTTAAGGACATCATTTAGTGACAGAACGTCTAGTCCCAATTACTGCCTTTTAGCTAGGACTACCTGAATTTCTCTTATATCCCCTGCAGCCATAATACAATTTTCCGGCATCACTCTGGATGGTTAGATATATATGTGAAAAATACAGAGAAAACAGAATTGATTGAGATGCTACAGAGAAATAAACTAGGCTTCATGTGAGCCTCTGCAATCAGTTCCTGGCAGAATTATCTATCCACATAGGTCACACAGATACTGTAAGCTATGAATACTGTCTGCTGCATATCTCTATGAGTCACACTGTCCAGAGAGTGGCAGTAAGTGTGGAAAGAAGTAGAAAATAGAGAGGAGCTGTTGTATCTCCTGGAATGTTTGTAGTTGCTACAGGAGTACAAAGAAGTGGCACAGTTACTTATTGATGACATTTCTATCCATGAACAATGATGATGACATTGGCACTACATGCTGCTTCTGTTTTTCTGTATTTTCAGGAAAGTTGTGAGCATCTGAAGGAGGCAAGGTGATGAAGAAAGTAAAGCTTGCCTAATGACAAGTGTGCATCTATTTTGAACCCCCAGAGCTGGAACTTTCTTTCCAACTAGTAGAAGTTTGGAGTTCTTGCATAAGAAAATCACTGAGACGCATTTGAAAGGAGCAGCAGTGTTCCCCACCCCAGGATAGAAAAAGAGGTGACTCTTTCTTATTCAAAGACTGGAGGAGGGTTTCCTGTGGGGTTTCTGAAAAGCAGGGCTACAATGGGTTCAGTGATCCATGAAATCTAGGGCAGCTAAAGCAAGTGGACTAAAGTGGGGAGGGCTTGCCTCCTCCACCTAATGGCAGAGGTAGTGCTTGGTGGCCTGGATTCTCTATAGGTGTTTTGCAATAATGAAAGGGTGTGATGGACGGCTTTTAACAATGGTGGGGAGACAAGAATTATTTAAAGAGCACGGGGCTCTAATTGGAACTTCAGGTTGGTCAGGTCAGAAGGTATGGTTTTGTATGCCTCAAAAAAGGCCAAATGAATACACCATGCTTCCCCATCTAAAATGGGTTGGCAGTTCTTCTCAAAAATGTTCTGAGGATAAGCAATCCAAAAGCTAAGAAGAAAGGAAACAGGGAAAAGACCTATTCTTCTGAAACAAACAGCATATAATTGATTTCTCCAGAAAGCAACATCTTTTAACATATTTAGCTACTCATGAAAAATGTCCAGAAGATGCAAGGTGCAGGGACCAAATTATTGATTACTGCATGGCTCTGGGATCATATGATGATAGAAACTAGAAACACTTGCACAGGTTATCATAGCTATTGGCACAGGGCTTATTTGCTGGATTACCTGTTCCAGCATTAATCTGGCCAGCTGCTGATGTAACTAGAAGAGATCCTTTGAAAATGCCCCTGTTGCCAGAAGATGGACAATCGGGGTCAAGGGTCTTCCATTGAGTATCTCCAAGCTATACAATGCACTTTTTAAAGAAAAGAACTTGGCTCTTGCTCTCCCATTATTTAGGAAGATGGTTAAATGATGGCACTTCTTTGACAAGCTTTAACTTCTGAATGATTTTAATTAATTTTGATTTTAACCAAATTATTATTTTTTCCTTGGTCTTATTTTTACTGCTGCAAGCCACCTTGAGTATCTGTATAACACCGGAGTAAGGTTTAAGATTCAATAATAAACATTTCTTTAAACAAAAACAGCAACCAAATTCTGAATTTTCATGCAGGACAGTATTTCGGTGATTCAACCCTTTACTTGAGAAACCACAAATCACCTACGCCTATCCATTTTCTGCCCTGCATTAGTAAGGGTTCCAATTCGAGACGCTTTTAAAGCCACTAGTGACAATGCCTTGAGATATAGAGAGAAACTAGTTGCAACGGGCAAAAATACCAAGCAAAAAATAAAATAAAATAAAATCCCAGCCTGAATTAGAAAGCAGACGCCGCGGGAACTTTCCAGAGGGCAAGACGCAGGCTAAAACCAGCGCCGTCGTTTCACACATTTCTCTCCTTGCTCAGCACCGATCACAACATTTTAAAAGGAATGGGGCGGGAAAACGCCCTAGCAAAGAGGTCGATTTGGAATCGAGATTCGCGACAGATCTGAGCGACGGTGGCTGGGACAGCCATGAAACCTTCCTCAAGAACGGATTATTACTCAGTCAGGGCTATTACTTGTCCTAAATGCAAGTCCAGCGGCGGGAGCACATTGCAAAAGCGCCTTTCAGAAATCCTTAGGGAAGGGCGCACAAAATCCGCCCAAGTGCAGCGGCGGTTGAAAATCGGGCACCGCCACACCTTGCCCCACATTCGCCGCCTCTGGCCCCTTACCTTAGCGCGGAGTGCCCAGGCGAACAGCAGAAGTACGGACTGCAGTATAGGGAGCCGGCGGGCGGAGAAGGCGGGAGGCGCGGCCATCGTGCTCGCTAGCGCTCCATGAGCGGCCAAAAGGCGGCAGCGAAGTCCTGGCGGCAGCAGGAGCAGCTGCCTGAACCCAAACCGGCATGGCCGAGTAAGTAAAATAATGACTTTCCAATCTGATGGGGGGTCTGCGGGAGTGCGGGGCAACCCTGTGGCTTCTGGGCAGCGGTGATTGACAAGGCGACCCGAGAGCCACCCAAAGACGCCGCCAGTGGGACGGAAGGAAGGGAAGGAAGGAAGGAAGGAGTGGGGGTGTTCCTGTCTGCCCCCTTCCTCCCTCTTCAAAGAGAGACAAAGGATCCCGACGCAGCGGGAGCCTTCCTCCGGCAGCCTTTTGCCCGCTGCTGGCCGAGGAAAGGAAGGCGGGAGGGCCCCACATCCTCTCCTGCTTGACTGTCAAAGAGGCCCTTCAGCAAGAGCTGCCGGATTAGGCAGCGGGGCGGGAAAAGTAGGCAAGGTTCCAAGGAGGGCTGAACTCTTTGGAACCATGTTTTCTTGCACCCAAGAGTTGCAGATAGATGCTGGGACAGAGATTAAATCTTTTATTAGAGGGTGGGGTGGGGTGGGGGCAGTGTTGGATTCCACAATAAAGAGGTCTTGGCCAAACCTTGAGAGGAGCGTGGGCATATATGGGTGTGTTGTTAGTATTAACCAAATGGCTGTCATAGGGAAAGTGAAGTTGTTAATATAGCTTGAGCTGTGTCAGGGACCTATTGTCAAACAGGACAGGCATCCTTTTCCAGGTTTTTCCTTTCTGCTGACCATTAACAGTTGATTATTGTTGAGTGTACTACATAAACAATGTTTTTGCATCATAGGGCCCCTCCCAATGCCTCCCATGGGATCCTGCTACTTAACCTTTGAAGTACACTAGTTTGCTCCAGTGAAGATGAAAGCCTTTTTGGCCTGCTTCTCTCAGGAATTTAAAGGGAATTCACGGGGAGCCAGTGGAAACCCTATTTTCATCATAAAGGTGTGGATTTCTGTGGCTTAAAAGAAAGAAACTGACACATATAAGGAAAATGATCATTTAAAATAATAATAATCATGTATTAATATTTTGTGTAAGAAAATGGGGTTTGGTATTGTTTCTAAAAAGTGGGTGCTTGATATGTCGAACAATGGTAAGCTGTTTCAAAACTACTTTTATGTAACAGGTAACAGTATGAAACCACAAGCCTTAGTGAGCCTGAATGCCAGGCGAAACAGCAAGCAGAGGAAATTCAAAAATAACACTAGAGCTTATGCTAGCAAGGAAAAAGGTTATAGTGAACTTGTTAAAATTCTTTGAATAAAGATGGAGGGGACTTTTAGGAGAATTGAGTAGGATGCTGTGTCAAAAAGGGGAGGGGGAAATGAACTTGTGTAAGGGGATAAAAGCTGATAAATGCTTTGTTCTGTGTCCACTTTCATTGTACCCGTGTTTGCAAATACGTGAATAAACTTATTTGCTGCTTTCAAGTTGTTGTCATAGTCCACTGTTCATAACAACTTATTGATATAATAAGGCTTGGCTGAAAATCAGGATGTAGACCGGCATGTATCTCTCAACAATTGATACCCCTGCACAGGTAATCCTCGACTTACAATCACAATTGAGCCCAAAATTTATGTTGCTAAGTGAGACATTTGTTAAGTGAGTTTTGCCCCATTTCACGACCTTTCTTGCCAGAGTTGTTAAATTAATTGCTGCAATTGTTAAGTTAGGGTTGAATTTGGCTTCCCCATTGATTTTGCTTGTCAGAAGGTCATAAAAGGGGATCACATGAGCCCCAGGACATTGCAACCATCATAAATATGAGTCAGTTGCCAAACATGTGAATTATGATCACATAATCATGGGAATGCCGCAACGGTCATAAGTGTGAAAAACGGTCATATGTCACTTTTTTCAGTAACGTGACTTCAAATGGACAACTAAATGAACTGTTGTAAGTCAAGGACTACTTACATATTTACAAATAGTTGGCATATAATAATGTACAATTACTCATTGAGCAACAAAGTCAATTATTATCCACCAACAGGAATATCTACAGTAGATGATCTTTTATTTTAAAAATGGTTTCATGAGATTTTGTTGATTGCTTGAGAAGGACTTTAATACAAATTCACATGCTTAAAAACAATAGAAGCCTGTTTTTTCCCTTTGTTTTATCTGTTTTATAAATGTATATATTTGTTTGTTAAATGTATAAATTACAAAATAAATACCCATCAGATATTTGGAAAGTTTAAATGATCTGTTATAAATGGCTTAAGGACCTATAGTCTATAATGTAACGTCAATAAATTTCTAAATAATAATATTTCAGTTTTTAAAAATCAGTATAATTGTTTTGGCAGAAATCAGAAAATATATGAATCTCATCTTTGTATATCTAGAATTTTTCTTAAAAATACATAAAAAGACAAATAAGCAGAGACTGGTTATTCACAAGACAATCTTGTGTTGGTGAGCTAATTAGCAGATAAGTCTTAATTCTTCAAAATTTATTTCAACTTCCAAATTAATTCCAGCATAATGAGAATCATCCAGAAATGCATGTTACCAACTGAGACTCACTCTTCTAGAATAAGGATAGTTTGCTCAATGGAGTTTAGCAGGTTGGTATATAGAAGTCTATAGACAAGTGGATGAAGTTAATAAATCTTGTAGTAAAATAGCTCTGGGAATAAGAATTAGCATCTTGGCTTGTCAGTCCTGGGTCTGAATCTTTTGCATTATTGTTTCATGATAAGTAGTTCAAGGAACGATCTATATAACCAAACATAGGATAATTCCTTATCAGTGATGAATATAGGAAATTGTAACTTGAAACAGTCAGAAACTTCTTTCATGCAGAAGATTTTTTTTTCTTGGATTTCAATCCCTTTAGTTAATTATGTTGATATTTGAAAAATGCTCTGATCTTATGAATCAGAGCAGATATTGTTGCATTATAAGGTTAGTTATAAACAGTGGTCTATGTTTATCCAATAATTCTCAGGAGAAACCTCAGGACCAAATGAGAAAGCTTCTTTTAGCTGATTGGCCATAACTTATAGTTCCCTGCATCCCACAAAAACAATTGTCTATAATTATTGCCATTAACTCTGGTGAGAAACCTAGAATTCATCATTTCTGTCTCCCCGTGTGGTTTTTGCCGCCTTGTATACATTAACTTTTGCAATTTTTCCTTGGGTTTTGGTCCTTTATAATTACCATGGATTGCACAATATTTGGATTTCTTTTTCTGCATTCCCTTATGTATGTTATATGTTAATATTAAAGTGAATTTAAAAATAAAATTCATGATTTTATGTATATTAAACTTTGTGAAATTATTCCAGTTGAAGTGGGTTTTACATTCATTATTTATAAAATATGGGAAGAAAAATACTTATGCTACTTTGCCATTTTGAGCTGTCCAAGATATTTGAATGTACTCATGTATAGGACAGCATATAATTTAGGGGTGTACAACTTCAATCAAGTAAAGAACTTTCCAAAGCCTTGATCAAGTTAAAAGTCATAACCCTAAAGTGTTCATTGAGAAAAAAAAATAAAGATATATTACTTTATTTGAACAGCAAAATATATTTTACTCTTGATGAAATGACAATACAGCTCTGGTTAGAAAGGCAATTTTAAAGCTAGGGCTTGTGTAACAACAATACTACCATCAAAAACCAACTTTAGATGTCAAAGCAAAAATCAAAGAGCACAAAAAAAAACCCAGTGCTGTTCTCTGTAGACCTACCCAGAACCTTGAAATGTACCAGTAAATACTGAAAGATGAAAACCAGAGAATGAGACAACTTTTTCAGGGAAGAAAAAGGAAGGGAAGAGAAGTACCAACAAAAATAGACGACCGTATTTGAGATTTTATCTTACATTTTGAACCTCAGCTGAATGTCTCAATTATGGCAATTGAAAGGGTAATTCTTGGCTGTGAAGAAATCCCATCCTATTTTAGGCTTGGATTTGACTAAAGCCAGAGAGGTCCGATCTTGTTCTCTGATTTTATCTCCCCTACCATGGCTCCACATGTGTACTGGTTGCAAAGCGCCTGAATCATCATCAGATGACCATGGGGATGAAGTGATGCAACTTTGAGGACTGGTCATAATCTTTTTCAGCTCTGCCGTTACTTCTAACCATAACTGAATAAGCAGTCAGTTAGCAAGGACTATCTGTGGTGGCACCGTGGTTAGAACGTAGTATTGCAGGCTAATTTTGCTGACTGCCAGGAGGAGTTTGATTCTCACCAGGCTCAAGGTTGATTCAGGCTTCCATCCTTCCGAGGGCGGTAAAATGAGGACCCAGATTGTTGGGGGCAATAGGCTGACTCTGTAAATCGCTTAGAGAGGGCTGTAAAGAATTGTGAAGTAGTATATAAGTCTAAGTGCTATTGCTATCTGTATTCCTGACTACTATGTTTTCCCTGTAAGCAACAACTTTGTGAGGTGTGTCGGCTGAGAGAGAAAACAATTGGCCCCAAATCACCCAGCCAGCTTTCATGCCTAAAGGAAGTCTAGAATGCACAATCTCCTAGTTTCTAGTATAGCACCTTAATAACTACACGAAACTGGCTCTCAGCTAATTAATCAGCTAATAAGAAAAATATATTCTCTTCCATATAAAAACCATATTTAAACATTTAAAAATTGGAATATGTATCCTGTCACTTTAATGTAACTGGAGGGGTTTAAACTTAAAATCGATGCTTTCATGTTGCAGTTAACAGGAATTCTATGATGATTTGGCAATATATAAATAGAATGAATGAATGGCAGCCACTTAATTATAGTGTGAGATTCATGTTTTGAAGTTATATGAAAAAACATTGATGCATTACCAGCCATGTAAGATATCCATAATCCACCCACAGAAAAATACAGGCAACCCTCAATTTAAGAAAACAGTCGGGACCAGATCTTCTGTCACTAAGCAATGCCGATTAAGTGAGTTGTGCCTGATTTTACGACCTTTATTGCTGCATTTGTTAAGTGAA